CAGCAACTGAATTTATTAATCAGCAGCTTACCTTGAAAGTTGTGTGATACAAATGAATACTTTTCAAATAGAATAATTTTAGCTAAAAGGTTACTAATAATTTTTCACAAGATTAAAATTTTTGTTAGATACCCAAAAAATATGAGTCATTATCTTGTATAAAATTAACATCAATTATCGGGCTTCGATAGGACATTTTGATATGCTGGAAAGATGACAATAATGATAAAAATCAAAGAGTTTAGCACAACAATTGGGAAATATCTATTTCAAATGGCAGGCGTTATGATAGGTATCATTAGCCCTTTAGTTGACTTCGGGCTTCATAGAAAGGAAGATGAACATCAAAGTGGCAAAGAGTCGAGAGGGGGACAGAACAATGATTCACAGATGTAAAAGAGATAGACAGACAGACACAAAGGTAGAGAAAAGGTAAGGTAAGATGAGTACTGTGGAATTATTCGAATATGAAATGCAGTGGGGTCATGGTAGTTTGAAGTCAGAAGTCAACTACCGGTTAATAGACTTTTTTGCCGTATGAGTATACGTTGCCCAGGGCGCATCACGTGGAGGTAAGTCTATCGCACACCGCCCATTGGGAAATATAATCAAAAGCATTTAATGTATAACTTGTGAATAAGCCATTAATATTTAAATGTTAATCTAAAGTTACTCAAACTGACCTCATTGTTGGAATGTAGCGTATTGCTACACTAGTAAAGCCAGACTGACTCAGAAATCTCCGTGACAGGTTCTCCTGTATAAATCTAGACTCCCAGAGCTAGCTAAATTTTAGGCCAGCTATAGAGGAACCTGACTTATGGCATGGAACGCGTTTATTTAGGAAGTACATAGTGGTAAAAGTGTACACGCAGTAGGGTTAGTCATAATCAACATGGCGGATTCGCTTCTGATTGGCCATTGGATGTGCGCGCATGTGATCACGCGTTAGACGATGACGTGTCCCCCACATTCTTCTTCTTCTTCTTCTTCTGATTTATAAATAAAGAGACGATAATTGATATTTTAGCTCAAAGCTTTGAACTCAGTAAATTGAGTATAACTAACTACTTCGAAATGTATATTTGGCCAACTCTTTATTTGTTAAAAGTGAAATGAGTGCCCTCATAGTAAGTAATTGACAAGTGACGTAATAATTTTTACCACAGGTATGTATATATATGTATGTATGCATGTATAAACAACTTTAATGCTTTCTTCAAACGAACTCGATTTAGCTTTTGGAAGATATATGTTTGGGCAAAAATGAAAATGATCTGTAAACTACATTCGCAAACACAAACCTTCCCAATTTTTCCCTCATTTCCATTGATTGAAAACCTTTATGTCTGACGACAAAAAATCGGCAAAAAATTAGCATAAGCATTACTATCCTCAGTATTGACATTAGTAGTTATGATTTAATGATCCATTTAAAACGTCTGATATCATCTTTTTATTCAATTCTCAAGTCTGGATAATTTCGCCCTCCTAATCTTAGAAGCATATGAAAGATACCTGACGACGCATTGGGTTTAATACGATCACAATCAGGTTTCAGCATAATTTTACCCAGAAGGTAATTGCTCTTCACCAAAAAACCAACTCAATTTTATTTTTTCCCTATTTTTTGGTGAAATGTTGCTTCGCAATCAGGTGGTAGCACAATGGTCTGAATTTTAAAATACTCTGGAAGATGTAGAAGCTCATTAAATGCTCCTGAAATTTACAATTAGGACTATGCGCCATAATTAGATTATAAGTCATTCGCTCAAAATGGCAAAAAAATGAGGCATTCTTCTTGGCCGAATAAAAGTCAATTTAAAACGCTATTCAGTGCCATTCGTTAGAGTAGTCTCTTAAAAGGGTTTCGTTATAATTGGTCACCAACAAAACGACACGTTAATAGATCCTCAGTAGTGGACAAATATGCGCGATAGTAAGTAGATACTCCAGTCACAAATTTACTTGTGCTAATTGTTAGCCTAAATTTAATGCGCTAACTGTTATGGAGGTGATTGATAAATGGAAGCGGAGAAAAAGTGATTGGCAGTGGCTAGAGGAGTTAATTAATGAAGTAATCCCATAGTGTCAAACTTTTTTGATAACTGAATATGATTCTCTCACATTTTTGCCAGGCTGTATCCTCAGACCTAGAAAATAAGTTAATCGATGCTTCATATGTATCCCTTTGTTACATCATGATGATGATGATGATTTCAAAATGAGTAAGGTTAAACAAAGAAATAATGTTGTAAAACCAACGCATATTGACAAGCAGCGATTATAGAAATTTCGACCAAAAAGACAATCATTAAAAACGAATTTTTATGAAGTATAAATCATGCATTATCAAGGTGATTAATTGCAAAGAATAAAATCAATAAATGATATCATAAATTGTAACGAACCATTCATTCACTGCTATGGTTATTTGAGAGTAAATTCCATGCACCTTTTAACTAAAAAACATCCAAATGCATCTACTGTGACCAGTCTACCGAAGATGGGCGTATAAAGTTTGCGATGACCACTATTTTTGTTAAAACTATCTCGGAGACGGCAAAAATTACAGATATTTTAAGTTAAAATTGCGCTCATTTTAAATTGTATTTAAACCCGGAGAAGAGGCAGATATTTTACTGTAAATTTAATGGCTTAGATGAAAAGCAGATAAGTGAATTTGTGTGCGTGTGCTCAAAATGAATTTATCTTGGATGATTGAATTTAAGGAAAAAACAATGACTAAAAGTCTTGTTTTATGGTGAATTTTTAGTTTTACATATCCATCGTAGGCGAATATACCTTAGAAAGCCCAGAGATGCTATTTGATTTGTCAAATATATGCGTTTCATGGGGAAGATAGTAATACGACACACTTGGAATCCCTTTTTACCTTCCAAGCGTCTTTTAATTACTCCGCCATCTCTGTTGACCCACAATTAAAACCCAAACTAATCAAGGAATTACAATTTCGGCCAGTGTTTGCCTACATAAGCACCATTATTGTTCATTTTCATAAAAGGAATTCGATTATTATGATTGACATGGTTTCACTGCATGGTATTGGCTGAAGGCAACTTGTATGCCCTGAATTCTGGTCGAACCCCGGTTGGTTAAACGTTTGTTTCTAATGGAATTATTCGCCTCACACTCTGTTGTTCAATAGCCAAGGTGATATTTACGGTATGGCATCGTTTAATTTTGCATAATTCTAATGTAAATTGGATTTAGAAAAAGCTTTACTTTAAATTCAAATGGACTAAATTATGAAATAATCGATGCACATTTAGTTGTCCGATAGATCAATTAGTCCTATTATTATAAACGTGTGTCCGCCCACCTCTCATTGATTCACGCATTTAGCATCTGGAACTAGGGGCAATACATGGTAAAAGTACTTTTTAACACTGCTTCATTGTTACTCAGTTCGAGTGGTTATCCATCTCATTTAAAATTTCACAGACGCATTGCCGATGCTTGTTTTCGACTTTTTCAATTTTTTCCCATGCTCTCTTAAAATTCATCATTATTCGAATTTGTGGTGAGCAATATCCTTGTAATCTAGCTTGCTGTAACAGTTACTTTCATTTATTATTAGATCATCACACACTGCCAGTCTCACCAGATTTAAGCTTTGCATTTTCTCTATTCAGGATGTATATTCAAATAGGGCGCAGCTATGACTACTAGAGTTGCATACTTCAAAAAATTCTTTCCTGTGTGGTTTATACACATTTTGAAGGTGAAAATTAAAACCACAATGCATTTCCGCCTTTACTTACATCTGTTGGTTCAAGGTCACTCATAAAAGTGTAACAAACTCGACATCAAACAAACAAATGACTTTACACTTCATATAAAAATAACATATAATAATATAAATACGATCAAAACAAAGTAATACATACTTTCAAGTGGCACTGTTTGCTATAATAGCAATGAGAAATTCAGGCGTGGTATTTAATTGCTTCAAAGTACTCCTGTCTGTAACTTGACAAAGGCACCAATTATTATGCCTGATTGAACTCACTTTAGATCCAAATGAATGCACTACTTAATCACCGGTGTGCGCGCGGAAAATGATTGATAGAAGGTAATGATTAATATACCATTATAAAATAATGGGGTTTGGTTTTAACCTGAAGGAATACTGTACCATAAAGTAATTGAACTTATTGATTTGTGTTCACAACCAACAATCAGAGCTACAAGAAGTAGGGAGTGAATTTTCATCAATTACAAAAATTATCTTGGAGGCAATTCAGCCACTTAAATTAATATATAATTTCTTTTAAACTTTTGTAATATAAATGAGCTTTCGAACATCGCTACCTATATTGGAACGACTAAGAGATCCTCAGTATACAAATGTGAACGGAAACTAAAAACGATCGCAACCATAGGGAAATTTTTCTAAGTCGTGCTAATATTCAAAAAGTAATTTCAAGGTCAAGTTATACAAAACAAAGCTGAATTTTATTAATTTAATGCCTATTGCTCGCTAACATAATTACGAATAATTTTATAAAAGTAAATGCGTTTGAATAATCATGAATGGAAGGTGAGAGTTTTATTTAAAAACGTTCAAACTCGAAATAAATATTTTTTAAGCAAATATTATAAAGCGACTTAGTAAAAAATTTACTAACTAAGTATTCATCCAAAAGTGGATTGCACTAAACCAGATAAAATGTTGTGAAATCGATGCAACAAAAATTGCTCTCGGTTCAATTTCTCTATAAAATATAGAATAAATAATTTATTTCTTACATAATGAATATTTGAATTAAGAGAACATGATTAATTCACAATCTAATTCAAGAGAGAAAAGAGTGATCTAATGTAGCAAGTAAAATAAACCTTATTTTCCTTGAGAAATCACAAATTTTGGTTCATCAATTGAAACAGAGACACGCAGAGTGTACGGCAGATAGTAAATTCATGATAAACATAAGCGTGCAATTGGAGAGAGAAGATACAGTGGAGTGAGTGACAGTCTATTGAGTATTCACTTTTAGGTTAAGGGAATGCCACATTGCTACAGGTCTGCCAGGATTCTGCATCATTTCAAACCACTGCTTCTGGTTCGAAGCCTCATTCACAGTGGATCCAAGGAGGACTTTTCCAAAGGTTCTTATAAGTCCACTATGTGATTTATATTTCAAACTCAAAGTAAGATCCGCCATCGCAAGTTTGTCCTTTCTAACATGGAATATTAAATTATTGCCATAGTAGGGATTATTTGTTCCACTTCGGGTCTCAGTCTTCTTATTCACTAGCTTCTTATTTCCAATGTGAAGCGTTGCTGAGATTAGAGTGTCTGGATACCTTCCATGATAAAGGGGGAGAGCTAACTGCCTAGCTTCAAGAATATTCACGTGCAGTTCTTCAGCCTGAGGTAAACTCTTAAGAACAACACAAATTTGGCCGGGTTCATCATCTGCGCCCATAGAAGAGCCTAAATATCCTACGATTTCGTGTGTTTTACCGACGTAGTTCTCCATGGGAATATCTTCCAGATTGACGTAAACTTCTCCGATGACAAGGTCCTTCAAATTTGGATCATAATCGTAGACAATAAGACGGATATGAGTAAGTTTGAGAAGATCGTAAGGGATCTTATAGTTGAATTGCTCATTGAAACTAGCACTGGAGCAGTTTTGTTTGACATCAGTTTTATTTATTGGGATCTTCTGTTTATTTTTCTGTTTGGCCTTACCAACTGGTTCATCGATCACAACAACCACTTTAACGTAAGGATCCAATTGATCAGATGCTGATTTGGCGGTGAGATCTTGGACTTGAATAACTCCAACCTTGAGTTCATTGGATTTCATGGTATATTCTAGAGAGTATTCCAAGATTCCTAGGTTGTCCACAACGCCATAACGACTAGGCAACTGATCCACGTAAAGAGATGGCATTTTCTGGTAGGTAGCTTTATGCTTTTGACGTTTATTGCACAGGCACCTGCAGATACAAACAAGACCAATGCAACCGAGGAGAATAGCAATGAAGATGAGAATAAGAACAAATATGAGTAAAGCGCTCCCCGTGATGTTTAGAACTCCACCGGCCCACGCAAGAAACGGATCTGACATCAATTTGTCTGTTGTTGTGGAGTTAGCATCGTAAGCCAGTGTAATCAAAGCATCATTTACGTTGTTATTATCGATTGCCAAGTTGATCATCTCTCCCCGCTGGACAAAGAAGTTATCATGAATCTCAGAGTTCTTGTGGCGCACTGATGCTTGAATAAAGTTCTGTCAGTTCACAATTGGTGCATCCTTCAGGTAAGTATGCAATTGTGTGCACTGATTTGAGAATTGTGCAAGCTAGTGTGTGTGTATGTGGAGTTCTTTGCTTCGATTGGGTACTGTCAAGAATGTGACGTAATATTTTTACAATGGTAGAGTATGTGGTGCAAATTTATTCACTTAACTCTAAAAAATCGTTGAAGTTGTCACAGGGAGGTACCTGTGAATATCAGAGTGCCAGTATGCCATAACTAATTTAGATCTAACATTCATGTCAAACACAAGCTCTGCTTTGAGACAACCCTTCACTGTGAGACAAACAGAGTCAAGTTTGTTTCATACGGAAAAAAATTGTGAGAGCTAAATCAATAGAATGTCATTTCATTCCCCACTTAACAATTACTTCACTGTTTGTTAAAGTAACATTGTGAAGGGAGAAGATTATGGAATTAGAGAACAAATGCTAGAACAAAGCGTGTATGAATAAACAGTATACTCACATATGGAGAGAGTGAAGACAGAACTGTGATTACTTCATATAGCATGACTTCCGGAATGCTTTAATTGTTTGAAGGTTAATCCACTGTCTGGACCAATGGTAGTTTAATCTATACCTTCTCAGTATTCGAGACGCCAAGTACTTACATATAAATTACGCTGATAGGTTCCTGTGAGACCACCCGAGATGGGGTTTGCTCGTTCCACTACCACACGTAAATTAGACGACCCTGAGCCATCTTCTCTGCCTCTAGTTGTTTAATCTCTACAATTATCATTAATTAACGCTTATGGCAAATCGCCAATTGGGTAGGCAATTGTAAAACATCCGAAATTCTATTTACGATGGAGATATGAAATTAAAAAAAATTGGGTTGGAATGCTCATGCTATGGAATCCAAATGCTCTCGTAAAGGTTTCAACCTGTCAAGTCAGTTGAAATGTAGTTTTAGAGACAATTTATTTATAGTTGCACTAAGTGGCTGTTTCCAAGATAGTATATTTGCTTATGGGTGACCAATTAGCTATTTTTTTCCCTTTGTGTCCTTGATCGGTTTTGAATTATTGCAAATCAAGCGATTTGTTGGATCTCATAACCTTCTGCATGGTCTGAGTTCAGATGAACATATTTTTACGCAATCGTGACATTTAAATTCTAAAATTTAAAGCCTAGGAAGACTCTCATCACCCAAACGTGATTTCCTGCTAGTACTGATTCACGTTAAGCCCTATTCAGGTTAAAAAATTGTACTATCTCTTTACCAAAGGAAAAATGCCAATCTCGCACGGCCTAATTCAATTTAAAAGCCAAAAAACTCCTTAAGATATGTCTTTAAAACAGTCAAATTGGAAAGAGTCATCAGTAAAAATTATCTTTAAGCAATCGCATTGGTCGAATAAGCAAACCTTAGACAAGGAAAATAAAAATATTACAACGAACCCCCCCCCCCCAAAGTGAACAGGTTTAAAACGGACAATCATGGTTGCAGTGATCTGAAAAATACAGTTATGAGTTGTGCAGACTGGTGTGCAAAGCGATAGTTAGGAATCGCGTCGGTTGGAGGTATGTGAAGAGGAGGAGGGTTGAGCAAGCATCACTAGTCTGGTAATCGCGCAAAGTGGAAACAAAGATGAGTCATTGTGAAAGAGGCGTGCCTTCTAACGCTTACCAGTAATCTCCAAATGAAACAATTGAAAGGACCTCAACAAACGCGCCCTTATATTAAAGCAGCTTAACTTAAAGTTATTCGAAAGCACAATGCCACAGAACGCAATATTCAACATTACAATCCAATTTGAGGACGTGTTCTTAATCCTGATTACAACATTACTTACCAAATGTGCGTATAATAAAATCCTTGAATCATCTGAAAACATAAATCTTATTTTAATTCAAGATTTTTAAAGAAATGAGAGGATTAAAGCCATCATTACTAACAGCTTATAACTCACAAACTTATCAGCGATATTCTAATGAATATAGGAAGAAGATATTTTCTAATTTCTTACAAATTCAGTTATTTCGGGAGTTAGTAAGTAACTAAATACAATTAAAAAGACGGGGTAGGAACAATAACAAATTGTGTACCCTTGCATGAGAAATGGGGTTTCCTCTGTTATCATAGAAAACAGAATGCAGAGATAAGAAAAACCTTTCGAATGAGAGCCTACGTTCTTGGAGTGAAATAAGCAATTAATTCAGCCTTCAAATTAAATAGATATGGTTTATGAGGTTGCTGATCACACCTTTTCTTACCAACTACGAAGTCAACAATTTGGTACAGTGATCACCCCTGCCAGGTGTACGAAGTTCATATGAATTTATGCTTTTCTAAATTGAGACTAAAGTGCTTTTTAGGATCTTTATGAACCACAAGTCTCTGATTTCTGATTTAATATTTGTTGAAATAAATTCGGAAGTCTGGAAATCGCGCACTGACCTTAAACTCCCATGTGCTCCAAAAGGTAAATATTTTTGCTGGAGTCTTGAGCTAATGAATTTGCGTTGAGCAATGCCCTTGAGACTTTAAGGTCTTGAAAACCAGTGAGGGACTGCAAAAGCAGACTTAAATATATTATTCTGCCCTAAAATGCGTTTAGATGTAAGTTCATATTTATCAACAAAAAAAGGAATTGATAGAATGAATCATAATCTAATCATACTGAGCAACCATTGCTTCTAATTTAGCAATGCCCGATAAGTCATAAGGATTGCTAACTTTATTGTTTATTATTTGGAGTTTGGGTGTTTGGACAACACCAAAATCGGCAAACCGCATATTTTGATGTGTGGGGTGTACGATAGACTTACCTCCACGAGGTGCGCCCTGGGCAACGTATACTCATATGTCTATTAATCGACAGTAGACTTCTGACTTCAAACTACCATGACGCCACTGTATGTCATATTCGACTACTTCTGTTACTTGAAATACATAAATATTTTGATGTGTTCGAAAGGAAACGGATTGAAATGCCACAGAGTTGAGTAATGGATCGATTATGGTTGCACTAATGATAAAATAGTTTATTGATATCATTTATTTATATCAAATGGCAGGCTTTATGATAGTTATCATTAGCCCTTTAGCTGACTTCGGGGTTCACAGAGGAGAAGGAAATCAAAGTGAGAAAAAGTGGAGATGGTGAACAGAAGAGTGATTCGAAGATGTAAAAGAGACAGACGGACACAAAGGCAGAGAAAAGGTCTACAGATCTTTCGTCCATGAATACCCCAAGTATAAACTATTATTAAAGTCCCAATTTCTAAACTTTTGTCATGATTCAATAAACTACGTCTGTTGCTTATGAATAAAAATCTGACTCATTCCTATTTCAGTTACAATAAGTACCTATTAAAGTCGTGAACCGTTATCTGATTGTACCCAATTCTTCTAAAACTCGTATTTACTTGCAGCTAATAGTCTCCATATTCAACGCTTCCAAATGATTAACTACAACAAAATACTTTGCCATAGCGAATAGTCTGCTATAAAGAGAGTGCTCTCAATAATAATAATAATAATTTTTTATAAATAAAGAAAAATTGAGGATAAGACACTACATAAACACTTGGCTCAGTATAATAACGCTCGATAAATTCTACTTCAAAAATGACAAATGAAAGGCATTTAATTAAATTAGACTTGATTATTATTATATTAAACCAACTTGAATAAGACCATCTTATCACTCAAAGATGAAAAATTTTCAATTATAAAGAAACGTTGAGCTAACAGGATTATCGAATTTTAGGCGAAGTTTGTTGCCAAATTTCTAGAAACTATTCTGAAATATATATTGGCAACAACTATCATAACAAAAAAATTCACTGGAAGTCTTCTGAAGTAACTGTTTCGAGAACAAGGTCGATTTTCTTAAAAGCTGAAATTCTGCAAGTTTGCCATCCATATTCCTGTCATTTATTCAATCACTGATTTAAATATCTTCTTATTCACGATTTACACATTAGTGAGATAGAATAATAGTTCTTTTGTTGATGCATATGCTACTATTTTTAACTAGTATATTTTAAGCAAACCAATCACCTGTCAAGTTAGTGTAATTTAAACATTTACTGATTTAAATGCTTGGGGGTTAGGATTTCCATTAGGTGAAGTTATTTCATTCAATAATATTTAAGATGGAAAAAAATCCAATCACGAAAGCATTAAGCATGCAATCTTCCTAAAAATGTAATCCAATTACCAATAGGGGGTTAAGCGGTTCCTCTGAATCTTTGAATCATACTCACGCCCTATTCACAAGGCCTAGCACTCTAATCTCTACGAGAACACGCCTCGGGAACCAATGATAAGCTAACAGAACGCCTACATATGCGCAAGTAAGCGCGTGTTTACAAAAACATCGTGTCACTTTTAATCGAGTTGCTCTTACCTATATATATATATATATATATATATATATATATATATATGGCGAGTTCTTTGCCAGTAATTCGCAGTGAAACTTTAAAATAAGTAAAAGTTAATATCTTTCTTATCACCAAGAGTGTACATTTTTAAAATAAATTGTATAAATGCTTACTTTTATCACTAAAAAGCACTCGAAGAATATTAAAATATGGGATGTTGGCATTTAAAACTTAAATAACTTAAAGCCTATTCAAGATAGATTTTTTATTGCGATTTGCTAATGATACCTACAATTTTGCATATCTATAGATAAATGATTATTCTTTTATTTTCACAAATACCTTTAGGTGTTATTCTCTAAAGAGTTTTTTTAAATTGATCAGCTAAAGTCGTCTATTATTGCAAATAAATATCCCCCTATTCAATTATGAAACGAGTGACCTCCACAGTTTTACGTTAGAGCCTAAAAAATACTGATCACAAATATATAGTAAATCATGTTCAAATAAATTTGAACATAGGGACCATGTCCATCATAATTGATATCACAGTGGTACGCCCTGTTCTTGTATAACCCTCATATCTTCAATAACAAAGTTAACGCATCTACCAATGAATGGTCCCTCTTCCTCCCTCTTCAACCTCCTTGTTACCGATTGGTTAATAGTGGGCATTAACTCGGTGGTCGAAAGCTCTTATTGGCCAGAGCCTTTAAACGACACTTTTGATACGAGTACGAACCTAAGCAGTATATTGTGATAAAGCAATAAGCATGTATAGTTCAGTAGCCTCAGGAAAACATGATCAAGGTTTGTCTATTAAACTTATCTTTAAAACGTTGATGTGCTTTATTGACTTTGACTTTGTTTGTTTATTTTGGTCAACAAGCAATTTTAAGCATGAATTATGCATTTTTACATTAGATCACCAACTAAATTATTTTTCACGATAATAGCTAGGAGTATTTTCCAAATTTGCTATTTGGTATAGAGTTGTACTCATCAAAGAATTGTGAATGCAATATAAATAACAACTACAATCATTCGGATAATTAATAGTCTGTTTAAAATTATGACAAATTAATTTAAATTTAACAGTTCCTTTTCAATCGGTCATAACAGGAAAGCTGTTTTGTCTCATTAAAATAGGAAGAAATAGAATGAGCCAAATGAAAATTTTTGAAACATATTCTTTGTCCGATCATTTTTAAATTGAAGTCAATATAATTGTATTAATTTACTACATGAATAAAATGAAAAGGGATACGAAATTTGTTAATAAATTGTGTTTATCCAAATTAACCTACCTCAGAGTTTACAATTTTTTTATGAAACGACGTCCACCGTCCACATCGATTTATGCATTGTTTTTTACGCAATAATAATGATAACCCAATTCTCAAAAGACAATTTGCCTCTAACGTTACAATGTGCCAAACTCTATTTTGTTCTTGAACAATAACCTAGTTGTAGTCGATTAACATGAAAGTCTGTAAGAAAGGCGAAGAACTCCTGAAGTGGATCTAATCTTGACCTGTGCTCGTCTAAAGATCATTAATTAATTAGCTTTAATAGTCTTGATATTAGCTGAACTACTTTTAGTTAATCGAAATGTAAAATATTGGGAATTTTTATGGAGTTATAAGACAGAATCATTTTCCTTTTATCTATGTAAGATTATTTTAGAAGTACTTTTATGAATCGCATTGGAATAAGTCGAAACTTATAATAAAAATAAAGCCAAGAAAATAATAGGTATTCTTTTGAAACAACTATTAAACATAACTAAGGGTCTGATAACTTTATTTACCAGCAACCATGTATATTTGTTGTGAGGATAGAGAATTCGTTCTTTTTATACAAAATTATTCCCGGGATTGAGAAGTGAATAATTAACTACTTTGTTAGAAGGAAATCAAACATCTATTGCATACCTTAAGCCAAGATTTATTCATTGGAAATTTTCCCTCTGGTTTTGATGGGATGTACATAAAATGATCAATTTAGAATTTTAAAATTGGAAGTTTGCTGTTAATAATATTTATTTATTTATTTATATCAAATGGCAGGCGTTTTTTTTCTAGTTACCATTAGCCTATTAGCTGACTTCAGGCTTCACAGAGGGGAAGGAACACCGAAGTGAGAAAAATTCGAGAGAGGAAAAAGAAGAGTGATTCACAGATGTAAAGAGACAGATAGACACTAAGGTGGAAAAAAGGTGAGGTGAGTACTGTGAAAGCAGTCGAATATGACACACAGTGGGGTCTTGGTAGTTTGAAGTCAGAAGTCAACTGCCAATTAATTGACTTTTTGACATGAGTATACGTTGCCCAGGGTGCACCACGTGGAGGTAAGTCTATCGCACACCCCTTGTTGTTAACAATTGAAAAGATAATCAGAAAATGAGAAGTTCTTTACATCGCGATTGCCGGCCTCATAAAGCATGAATGACCATGTAAAATGTTGGAATTAAATTCGGAATTTCTACTACATTCTCCATATTCCTCAGACCTCTGCCTACCCCATTGCAACCTTTTCAAGCACGCGGAAAACGATCTCGCAGTGAAACAGAATTGAAAAACCATCTGAACGAGTATTCAAACCCCAAAACAACTAATTTATTTTCAAAGAGGGAATCGTAAAAGTGCAAGAGTAATGAGAAGGATTTGAAAATAATGTTGGAAATTATTCTATATGGTAATGCATGCATAATTTAAAAATAAATAACATTTTAATGTTGTTTTGAAAATTCGCGATTTCTTATTGGCTGAAGATGCACTTCCTATAGATTTAGGGAAATTCTTGTAGCAACTTGAAATTGTGCTATTCTTTTAATAATAATATAAATAAATTTAAAATCGCATTTCGGACTGAAGATAAATGAGACTTCAAGTCATCAATGATTTAAATTCATCCTTGGGTTGTGGAGTGGGCAATCAATGCGTACCGAAACATTCTGGAGAGAGTGAATGTGATTCTCTTATCGGCCAGTCAATAATCAATCGGCATTTTATAGTCAGCGTGAGCAAAACAGCATTTGATAACTAAACTCCGTTCCACTTCCCCACACAGGAGTGACATGCCAGAGAATAAGCACAGCCTCAATAAACGTATTCCACGTCACGCCTTCTGCTTCCTCTTTACATCGTTGGGGCAGTTTAACAAATTTCGGAACTATTCCATACTAGTCAATCTTGTCATTGAGATTTATTGGAGATAATTCAAGGCCTATTCGTGTGGTAATCCACTGCAAAATGATCACACATTTGTGCATTATCCTTTGTTTCTTTTATAATTACCTTTAAGAAACTGTGCATGATTCGGACAAGCAAGAGCATCCTTATGTTTCTCCTCCCTCTCTGAGTTCTCTGGTAGCTCGGACGAAATTCTCCACAAGCGAAGTTCGGTATCTCTACAAGGCCTTCAAAAATGTGAGTCCTCACTTATATATTCATTGAATGATCATACATGGATCCCCTATATTTGTGGTTAATATAGCATTGAATTTTGATATATGCATATTATTTGCATTTAAGCAATATGTTAGTTCTGTAGCGGTTTGCTACCTTAGTAAAGCCTGACCGACTCAGAAATCTCTATGGCAGATTCTCCAACATCTACCTAGACCGACTCAGAAATCTCCATGGCAGATTCTCAAACATCTAGCTACCGGCTCAGAAATTTCTATGGCAGATTCTCCAACATCTAGCTAGGAATCAGAAATCTCTATGGCAGATTCTCCAACCTCTAGCTAGAGAACAGCTAAGCTATAGCTCAGCTATAAAGAAAACAGACGTGTAGCACGGAGCGCGTTTATATCTGTGGCAGATTCTCCTACATCTAGCTAGACTCCCAGAACGGCAGATTCTCCAACGTCTAGCTAGACTCCCAGAACCAGGGAGATTCTCCTACATCTAGCTAGACTCCCAGAACCAGCTAAACCATAGCCCAGCTATAAAGGAAACAGACGAGTAGCACGGAGCGGAACGTATATTGCGGATCAAGTGTGCACGCAGGGAGCTACTCATGATCAGGATGGGGATTAGGTTAAACAAACAGAGGCTACTGATTGGTCACTGTTTGTACGGTCGCTGTACACAGAGTTGTACGGCCGCACCTCCCAATCCTGGCGAGCAGACATGCGGGCATACGATGACGCACACAGCGATAACGTGTCCCACAATAGTGCTAAACGCAGGGAGGTAGATCCATTCGCATTAAATCCCGCCCCCTTTATCTTACAGACACCAAAAGATCCACAAAAATGATCCTGGACGGAAATTTCAATAAAAAATAAAAAAAACAAAGTGTTGAAAGTGGAATAAAGGGGAAAAGTTTTTTTCAAACAGATTTTCGTAGGAATGGTTAATTTACTCAGCGAAATCTCAACATCTCCAAGGCTAATCTAAGTAAATTCCTAGTCGACTCGAGTTAGACAAGTCACTTTCTTGGTCCTAAGATAATTGGGTGATGGGTTAATCTTTAAATATTGATGAAACAAAGAAAATCTTCATTACTACAAATAGTCTCTAGGACATTTAAAAATGATCGCGCTGCTATCTTCTCCCTCTCTCACACTCCAGATTCGACTCGACTGTAGTTAATCAATATATACGGGGATAAATCAATGATACCCTACTTTTCATTGGATATAGAGTTTGAATAAAAACACCGAGTTTCAGAGGGAGTTAACTTCTAAGCTCTTTCTCTTAACAACAAGCGTACTATTTCTCCCAAACACCTTGCACTACTCTTTCGTATTCTTAATAGCAGGAAGAAGACATTTGCCAGGTAGTGAAGTCGCTTTACTTGTAAAATATGAATTACATGGTACATCTCCCTCCAATAGTGACGATTAAGTGTGGTGCTTTTACAAAGACAAATGTGTAGGGGTTAGAAGAAGCCTAAACGAGCACACGGATACTTTTTTTAGGTTAGAAAGGACATCTCATTAAGACTTACAGTTCATTTAAAGCCAGAGAGGGGAGTTGTTTACGGGAAATTCGTTTGGGTGAATGTAAGGGAGACCTTCCCACAGCAAGGAAAGGGCCATTTGGCTCAGGACTTTACAAAATGCTTCTGATTATCCATGTAAATAAGGAGACGTGTTTATCTACAAGACCAATTAATGCTAAACTAAATGTGCCTCCACTTAGACGCTAGAAGAGGAGTTCAATAATGGCGGCCTTTAGGTACTCACCGTGGTTGTGTTTCACTGGGAAGGAAGTTTATCCATAATATACTGTTTGCTCAAATTTGGGCAAATTGATTTGAGTAACCGGCTTCACTCAATGAATCACATCTTCAAACGTGGTTGGTTCTGATTTTGTGATCCATTGTCAACTGTATTTATCGATCGATACGTTCTTCCATCATGTTTAATTTATAATACAATGAGGAAGTTTCAGTATGATAGTTCATGCAGCAATAAGACAAGCGTCCCTTCTCATTATAGTTTAACAAAGGTTTATAAACAAATCTTCAAACAAGGGATAAAGGTATGTACTTTGATACATTTCCATGCAATACTGAGTTGAATTTGACAATACCTTAGGAGGATACAACGAGCGAAGAAAGAGGAAGTTGGCACTTCAATCAGTTTCCTTACTTCTATGGGTTACCAGTTATGAACTTTCTATATTTCTTTCAAGGGGAGTGCGATAGATATACCTCCATGTGGTGCACCCTGGGCAACGTATACTCATACGGCAAAAAAGTCTATAAACCGACAGTTGACTTCAAACTACCATGACCCCACTGTATGGCATATTCGACCACTTCAACAGTGCTACATCACATTTTTTTCTAAATTTTCAACCTTCATCTTTGAAACACTCTTCAGTACCCCTCCTCTCGACTTTTTTTCACTTTGATGTTTCTTTCCCTCTCTGTGAAGCCTGAAGTCAACTAAAGGGCTAATGATAACCATCAAAACGCCTGCCATTTGATATGAATAAATAAATAAATATTTCTTTCAAATTCAAAGCTGTTAAACAAGATAAAGATAAACATGAATAATGCAGAGTAAGAGTAGAAAGATTCTTAAACATTCTTTGAATTCGAAAACAATGAATGAAACGATGCAACTCAAATACAAAATAAATATTTAAATAAAAGTAATTATTTGACTGAATAAATGCAGTAGTGAAAATATACAAGTAAAACGTCTCATTTTTTTGGTCGGACCGATAAATGGGTAACATCTTACATCTGACGTTACTTTCTGTTTAAAACAAAGATTATTTGCTAACGGAATACACCATAACAAAGCACAAATGAAAACTGTCAAATGCAAATATGCTTGCGCAGAAAAATTCCCACCAGTTTCGACTTATGTGAATAGAAATAAGAACCTGCTCAATGAAAGGGGGTCATTGTGCGATGAGTCATTTTACGATTACCAATATTCTCATGATTCACAGTCGGACTTTCAAATATGTTCAGATCCCACCAGTATGCAACGGCAACTCAACTCAGAGGTTTTGAGTGAATTTCGCCTTGATGCGTCAAGGTACAATATTCAATATTTTCTAATGAGATATCAAAGTAATTGAACAGAATAATTAAAAAAACCCAAATCCTCTCTTCCCTTCCCTAAATAAGTTATAAATATTTATTTATTATTTATAACAAATGACAGGCGTTTTGATAGTTATCATTAGCCCTTCAGCTGACTTCGGGGCTTCACAGAGAGGAGGAACAGCAAGGTCAGATAAAGTCGAGAGGGGGGACGGAAGAGTGATTCACAGATGTAAAAGAGACAGACAGAC